AGTAGTAATCCAAGTGGCCCTACATCCTTGATATTTACATGTAGTATGGTCCCCTTGGGTCATAGGTGAACATACTACTATCGAATTCACATCCTCTAGTAATGGACACTTCCTTGTATGTACTGTAGAGTATGAGCTGAGCCATCTAATCCTTGTAGCTCCTCACTCAACACTAACTCCCCAGTGACTGTCCCGGGGTCCCCTCCGTTGTTTAGCAGCCCAGACAACTGTCCTTCATCATCCCGTTGCACATCACTCATCTAAACTAGGAGGAACACTATGAGTCACATTGTATAATCATCATAATACAAGGGAGATAACATTTTCTTCCAAACATAATCAATATGACTCATTACTGTGATATATCAGTATCTAAATTTAATATACATTCATATTAATACCTGCTATTGTTCTTATGAGTCTTCAGTGAGACAATCGTAAATCACTAACTCACTATATCATACACCTCTCCCTTCTCTTTTCTCAATTGCCCCTCAGCTCACTGAACTCTGCTCCTTGATCAAGCTAAGATTCAGTTCAGAGCGATCATAATCATCATCAAGGTCAGGGCATTCGTTCGGCCATGATAGAAGTCAGTGTGATCATATCCTATTGGCGGCCATGACAGTTCAGTGCGCTCATAGCCTTAGAATATTTTGAGGGATCACTCAGTTCTCTATTTGTTGCCAACCAGGTCGCATAGACATCACCACTTCAACCAATCATGCTTGAGTGATGATGCCTGAGTGAGCATCGAGTCACCCGGCAGGGTTGACAGTGCTGAGCTGCTACCATAGCGCTCTGTTGGCCAACACCGTTCACCATTACTCTAGCAAGATGTATTGGGATGAGAAATCCAACCATCTGAGTGGTTCTCATTTAACCCATGGCTGATGATACAAAGTTCATCCCAACATAACTCTAGATTGCTAGTAAGACCACCAGGTCAGCATCCGGAAGGATCGCTAAGACTAGCAGCCTCGCTAAGGTCCTCCAGGGAAGGGCTGAACCCGCTACTGAAGACATGAATAAAATAGAGCTACGATGAGAAAACTTAACTCAGGCCTAAATGCTAAGGGCAATCATAAACCCAAGGAGGAGGGGAAAATCACATCCCACAGGGCAGGAGCCCAAAACGTTTCGTGAACGAACATGAGGAGAGGGGTGGGAAGAGGAAGGAATGGCCACATCCACTATGGTAACTCATCATAACACTTACACGGTAATACAGTAGTTGGGGCTAAAAAAAAAAAAAATATATAAATACAGTGAAGACGAGCCCAGATGGTTTAAAAACAAACGTCATTCACAAGGTGAATTGAAAACAGAGAAACATTGGTCACTAGACTTCGACTGTTTTCCCGAAGAGAAGACGAGCTGCTGCCGCCATGACTGACCAAACCGTATAAAAACTGTCCAAAACACAAAATCTGAGTGACGTCACCAAAACTAAAGCCACTCAATTTCCTCACCGTCATAAGAAGTATGATTGCCGAAGGAAAATTCCCCGTGGCACTTAATATTCCAGCAATCACAACACAAAATAATGGAGCTTTCTATGTGTGTGTTTACTGTTGAGTCGCCAGACAGGAAGATGACGGTAGAAATGCGTGTGATGGAGGGTGCTGGACGGTGTTTTGAGAATTGCAATTAAATGGCAGGTAGCGAGGTGTCCTCCTAATACAGTGGGGTATGCTATAACGAACGGATCCTACTACGAATATTCCTATAACGAATGGTTTTACCTATAAAATTGAGAATGCTATAACGAACGAAACTCCTACAACGAACATTATTAAGAAAAAAAAAATTTTTTTTTTTTACTAATTTATTGTTTTTTTATTACAAGCATTAATGATACTCTTTATTTCAGGGGTTTAGATGCATATTTATGCACTTTTTTACAATTTTTACAATTTTATATTATATTTTTCAGTGTTAAGTGGTTGTATTTGGGGGCCTGGAACGGATTAATCCTATAACGAACGAATGCTATAACGAACAAGGTTCTAGAACCAATTAGATTCGTTATAGCATACCCCACTGTATTACGTTTTTAGTAATTACAGTCGGTCCTTAACATACGCGGGGTTTACGTAACAGAGATAGCCGTGGATGTTAAAAATCCGTGTATATGTGCTGCCCCCTCCCCCCTCCCCCCCCAAAAAACCCCTGGCCCCCCATGTCCTTATTTACCATATATATCTGTGTGTAGTTCGAGCTTTTAAGACCATATTATTTGGCAAAAAATTGGGGGTCGACCTCTAAAAGGGTAATAGTTTCATTAGGTTGAAAAATATTTACCAGTAACTACCAGTAAACAATGGAAACGATGCACCAACGCACCACCAGCTGTGAGTGTCGGTACAGTTGCCAGGGCAGATCTCTTGCGTCATCATAGCAAGCCCAAAGTAGCCAAATCCATGGTATGGTAGCACAGGACGATGTAAAACATAAAGTATTCATTTATTAAAGTTTATTTATAGATACTGAACATAAATTTTTTTTCATTACATTTGAAACATCAATCTTTGTTAATTAAATTTGAAACAAAAGAAAACTACGACACCGTATTTTCATTAAAATATTACATCACTAGTATATTTTACCTTAACTGTGACTGAGTGAATATACGTATTCTCAGAAATAAATATGGAAATATTTTATTTTTGCTGGAATGACATACATATTACAGTGGAAAGAGGGATAAAATCATGACGAAAACAATGACTTTCGCTTTCTTTCGTTGTTCAAAAGATTTTACTGTAATCGCTTTTCGAATGGTTTTCAGTTAAAAAACTATTTTACTTGTACTGTAATACAATAATATTCTATCCTATCATTAGCCTTATAATCCCACAACTGAAAACCATTCAAAAAGCGATTACGGCAACATCTTTTGAACGAAAGAAAGAGTGTCATTGCTTTCGTCACAATTTTATCCCACTTTCCACTGTAATACGTACATCATTTCAGCAAAAATATTACATTTCCATGTTCTCAGAAATAAATGGTAGTTTTGTTTAAACGTAATGTACAGTATTTGATATTAAAATGCAAAAATAGCTATAAAAACAATTAATACACCCGAAATGTACTGGCTGGCATCTCCACTCGTCCCTGCTCCCGCGTCCAAGGTCACCACTCCTCCCAACTCGCTCCCTCCTCCGCCTCCTCCACCTCCTCCCCATCACTACTGCCAACAACAAACACAAATGTTTTGTGAATAACTGCACCTCCACTTCTTATGTACAGTACTGAACTGTACTGTGCTGTGCATTTTTACAAACAATAAACATGGCAAGAAAAGCTATTAAAAAATAGACATAAAAATTTCACTTTACTGTACAGTACCTATCATCGGCGAAAGGACGGGGGTCATCGGGCTCATCGTCACTCAATTCCATAACGGGTGGTGAAGTGGGGGCGACGGTGGATTCAACTGCTTCCTCACTGCCGCCAGTGATTGATGGTGTTAAATCTCTCCTTCGGTGATCAAAGAACATGGTGATGGGGAGTTGTTGTCTCTTTCTTTCATTTCTTCCATGATGTTTTTGTATGGAGCAAAAACGTCATCCATCCCTCGCATGAATTTCAGGGCACGCACCATGGAGGTGTCCATACTATAGGCCAGGTTTTTCAGTGCCTCAATATTCCAGGTCATCTCCCCCAACTTCTCCAACGTTATTTCTTGGTGCTCTTCCTCTTCCTCATCCTCTTTCCCTTTCGCTTCCTCTTCCTCTTCCTTGCCTGATTCTACTAACTCCTGTAGATCCTCCTCGGTCAGCTCAGTGTCGTGCTCTTCAATTAGCTCCCTAATCTCGTCCTCTGCCATGTCCTGGAAGCCTTCAGCAGCCACTTTCCTTGACAGTGCCAGGGTCTTTCTGAATATTTTCATTAAAATCCATCAAAATCATTTTCCTTGTCATCGTCTTAAGCACCAAACAGCTCCTCCCAGTCTTCTCCTTGAACAGGGCTAGAGGGTACGTGTTTTTCGAATCGTTTTCAATTAAAAAAATGTTACAGCACATGTATATTTTACCTAAACTGTGCCTGAATGAATATATTCTCAGAAATAAATAGTAGTTTTGCTGAAACGTGATGTATTTCAATGTAAAATAGGATAAAATACATGACGAAAACAAAAGACTTTACCTAACCTTCGAATGTTCAAGAGATGTTACTCGTTTTTTTAATAGTTTTCGGTTAAAATACTGTTATATTACAATGATATATTCATACTGTGCTTGATATACTACATTCACGGAAATGTAATATTTTTTGAAATGAACGTATTACAGTGGGATAAAATCGTGACGAAAACAATGACTTTCGCTTTCTTTCGTTCAAAAGATGTTACCGTAATCGCTTTTCGAATGGTTTTCAGTTAAAAAAACTGTTGCATCACAAGTGAATTAGGATAGAATATTATTGTAATACAACAGTTTTTTAACTGAAAACCATTCGAAAAGCGATTACGGTAACATCTTTTGAACGAAAGAAAGCGAGTCATTGCTTTCGTCACTTTCCACTGTAATATGTACGTCATTTCAGCAAAATATTACATTTCCATATTCTCAGAAATAAATAGTAGTTTTGCTGAAACGTAATGCATTTCAATGTAAATTAGGATAAACTACATGAAAACAAAAGACTTTACCTAGCCTTCCGATGTTAATTGAGAAAGGGTGTCAAAATGTTGCAGTATCACTAAACCAAATTAAAGTCAAGTGAATTAACACTAAATGAGGTATACCTGTATAAAAAAATTAATTGAAATTTTTTCACCTGTTTTCAATATTTCTAGGTTGGCAAGAAGATTGAATAGATCAGATCAGTTGAATGCCAATTGTGAGAGAGTGAGAGATAGTGACCACTCCATTGACTCTACTGGCAATTGGCACGCATCACCCACACACTTTATATGCCCATCATAATTCTTCTAAGGTGCCCAGCTTTATACTTAATCATTTATATGAAGGTTAAAACAGAAGCCTTACCTAACAAATGATCAATGGTGGCTTGACGGTAGGCATCCTTAAACCTATTCATGTAGTACCTGCAAGTACGAAGGAAATCATCATCATCATCATCACTATGGGGTCACAGAATACAAATTCAACAACAAAATACTGGTATATGAATTTTGCTGCAATTATAATTAATACAGATAATGATTCAGAAAATTTAAGAAAAGATTAGTTCTACTAAATGGTGCATAACAAAATAATTACTGGTACTGTATTTGGAAGGCTTGAGACAAAAGAAATACTTTATTTCATTCACCACCCATGATGACTGACGAAAAAGGACAGGAATTATGACACAGGTAAATATATATACAGTATATAGCATCACATCACTGTATACAAATATTCCTAATGATGAAATAGTTCTTAATCCATAACTTTCATAATAAATCTAGAGGTTATGTGGTTTTTGCCAAACAGACTATCCTCTCTGCCCAGCTGACCATATAATCCCTGCACAATATCAATAACACCATTTAATACATCAGCAACAAATGCTGTCACTTAAACAATACTGTACAGTATGTTAGATTATGCTTATATTTCAAAGATCCTGCAACATAAATTAAGAAGAGATGATATTAACATAATAATATACAGTAATACCTCGGTTTACACGGGTTTCGTTTACGCGGTACCCTGCCAGAACTGGAATGCACAATTTACGCGGTGCATCTACTCATATACACGGAGAGCGGCTGGCGGTCCTGCCGCGCCACCATTTTTGGATTTAAACCTCCCGTCGTCTCTCGTCATCCCGCCATGCTTGGGCAAGCGGCGAGGGTAGGTTGCGCAGTGGATGCCTCTGTTGCGTTATCGCTGACGTCATATGACGTATCGGACTGTGATTGGGCCACGCATCCTTATCTCCCTCCGCCGCTAGCTGTGATTGGTTTAATGTAATATGACGTGCCTTCCCGCAGGCGGGTAGAAGGCACTTGACCTAGCCGCGTCAGTTACACCCCTCCCGGCCAACCAGTGTATACTGGTGTCTATTGTTCCGCAAGAATGGCTGCCACCGGACCCCCACCACCACAGAAAAACCTTGCATTACCTGGACCCAGCTGCCCTAAGCCAAAGAAGATACGACATGCTCTAAGCTATGATGTGAAGTACAAGATAATCCAAGAGTTGGAGAAAGGAACAAGACAAGTTGATTCGGCGCACCAGCATGGCGTGAACGAATCTATGATCCGGACGATAAAGAAGGATGCAGCCAAGATAAAAGAACACATGAGCATCACAAAGTCTGCAGGTGCTTCAATGATCAAGTACTGCCAGAACAAGGTGCTTCTCAAGACAGAAAATTTACTTGTGTGTTACTTGATTCGTCAGGCAAGACGGAACATGGAGGTCGACACGCGGTCAGTTCAAGAGTACGCACGTGAACTGTACACAGCAGTGGCACGTAAGATGGGAACTGCAGAGCCCAAACCCTTCAATGCTTCCTCTGGGTGGCTGCAAAGGTTTAAGAAGAGGAACAAGATCACCAACATTAACATTGCTGGTGAAGGAGCGAGTGCTGACCGTGTTGCGGCTAGTGATTTTCCTCCGTTCATACATGAGGTTATGGAGGAAGGACAGTACACCGACGACCAGGTGTTCAACATGGACGAATCCGGTCTGTTTTGGAAAAAGCTACCTTCCAAGACCTTCGTTGGCAAGACTGCCAGCAAGTGTAAGGGGCCGGAAGTTGCAGAAGGAGTGCATCACTGTCATCTTTATCACCAATGCCTCCAGTTCCTGTAAACTCAAGTTATCAGTGATCCACACAGCCCGCAAGCCGCACGCCTACAAGAACGTGGACATGACCAAGCTAAATGTCCACTGGCTAACCGGACATAAGGCGTGGATGTTCTCTGCTGTGTCCCTCTCCTGGTTTGACGACTGTTTCATTCAAGATGTGAAGAAATTCTGCGAGCAACAGAATGTTCCATTCAACATTTTGTTGCTCTTGATAACGCACCAGGGCACTCGCCCCTACTGTTGGATCGTCACCCCAACGTAAAAGTGGTCTTCCTTCCTCCCAACACTACGTCATTAATCCAGCCCATGGACCAAGAATTAATCTGCAATGTGAAAGCTGCATACTCAGCATAGAAGTTTAAGCTTCTGAACAACTGTACCAACATCAAGGATGAGTTGCGTAACCTGGGTGACACCGATAGGAAGAGCGACGAGGACGAGGAACAACAATTGGTGGATCAAGAAGTTCTCGTCAAACACTTTTGGAAGAAATTTAACGTCAAGAAAGCCATGGACTTCTTGGTGGAGGCATGGGATCAGCTGTCTGTAGCAACGGTTCGTCACGCATGGAGGCATGTGTTGCAAGGTATCCCAGGTGGGAGGCAGAGTCAACCTGTGACTGGTGAGGTTCAGTCTGTTGCAGTGGCAGTGGACCTTGCAAGAGAAGCTGAGCAGAGTGTTACAGCTGCAGGCTTCTCCGAGACCACCAACGAAGACATCCTGGAGGTGATAAGGGATCCTGAGGTGACTGCCGACGAGATGTTAGAAGACGATGACGTCAGTCAAGAGGCAGGTGGTGAGTCAACCCCAGAAGAACACAAGTTAACGCATGGTAATGTTAAGGATGCCATCGAGTGTGCAGAGAAACTGAAACTCATCCTTTCCAACGACCCTAACGATAACCGCTATGAAGTCTTCACTACCCAGATGTTGCAGACTATGGAGCCATACATCAAGGTGTATCATGACAACATCAACACTAGCCGTCAGCGTAACATCACCGACTTCTTCGACCACAACCGACCACAGCCAGCCCAAGTCAGTGATAGTGACAGTGACGGTGACTTTGAGGGGTTTGTCAGGGAGACCCTGATATCTGTGGTGCATAGTGATAGTGATTCACCTGAGGGCCATTAATCTGCCCTCTGCCTCGGGACCAGCCCCCATCCAAGTATGCCGACCCATCTCTTCCACTAACGTAAGTGTTAAACCTTGATTTTTCTTTTCCCTGGTGCAGTATATTATTCTCTTAATGATATTTATCTTCTACAGTAATACCCCGATTTACGCGGTCAATTGAACCCACAGAGGTCCGCGTAAAACGAGAAATGCGTAAATGGAATAACAGAACATATGGGATTAATACCGACACAATACCTATGTTGTAGTAAAAATAACATCTTAATTTTATGATGGTATGCACACACAATTAATATATAAGAGAAATACAGTCGCCAGGTTAATGTCCATTCAAATAATGGACTCTACTCCCTCCCCCCCCTTCCCAAGCTCGCTGGCTTCTCCCTCTCTGAGGGGTTTGTGTGGGTGAAAACACTAGATTCTAAGGTATAGTAATAAATAATACCTCAGACGAAAGTTAGGATAATATAATTGACATTGCTGGATTCCTTGCAAGACCGGGAATATTTTGAATATACACGTCATATATTTTGCACAAAAGATAACATATTTGCTGTGTAAACAAAATTCTTGCATTAGATCTAAAATTTGTATGTCTAATGCTTTTTACCCTCTTTTCCCCCAAAACGTGGAAATTAATGACAAATAAAAACTGCATTCTTTAAATAATGTTCATGAATGCACCTTCTACAATATAAATGAATAATACCGGTAATATGTAATCACACATGAGGAGACGGTGACGCCATTATTATTGTCATTGTTTACACCCATGAAGAAAATAGAACCTGGTTGTTGCTGTAGAAAAATTAATGTAAAAAAAAAAATGTATGTTTGAATTAATATTATTTAATGTGCAGTAGAAGTAACCACTGATGGTAAAGACAAAAAAGTGAGAGACTGATAGTGGGAGGCCAATGTATGTACAGTAGACTCTCGCCAATAACGCAATAACGACTTCCACAATAACGTTTTCGACATTAATGGTAAGTTACAATACTAGATACCCATTTTTGATAACATCTGGATTCTCTTGAATAACGGAGATTTTGCGGGAAGCGTCCGAGCGCATCAATGATAGCGTTTGTTTGCCGCCATGCTGTCCGCTCCGCCTCACTCTCACACACGCTCCGAGGAATACAGCGCTGCGCCCACGGGTGAGATTTTCACCTCTATAACCAGTGGTTGCGAGGGTCGGTGATCAACAATGGCTTCCGCGTTTTTGCCTGTGGGGGCTACGGGAGGTGGTGGAGGGAGTGATTTGCCGCCTGAATGCCCGGGAACTTTTAAAGTGAATAAGAAAAATGACCCCAAAGCTAAGAGACAAAGTCACAAGAAGCGTGCCTACTCGGTCAAGGATAAAGAACAGATTGTTGAGCTCATTGAAAGTGGTGCACGGAACATTGATATTGTGAGGAAATTGAACTGTCCTGAGTCTACAGTGCGAAATATTAAGAGGAACTTAGAGGAGACCAAGAAGAGTTTTGCGCTGGCTAAGAAATATTTCGGTAGTGATGGAAATGCGAGGCGAGCTATGAATGATAAAAGTGATAGAAACAGGTTGTTAGTGATAACAAAGCATTTTCTTGTGAAATGGTTAGCTTGTAGAATGAAAGACAATGCAAGTGTTAGCAGCCCTCAGATACAAGATCAAGCAAGGGTATTGTACGCTGCTGTAGCTCGAAAGAAAAACAATAAGTCTCCCCCTCCTTTCAATGCCTCAGTAGGGTGGCTGCATAAGTTTAAGATTAGAAGTGGCACAAAGTACGCAAAGTATCAGGGTGAGGCTTCGTTTGATGACTTAGTGGCTGCAGATTCCTTCCCTGAAATTGTCAATCAAATCATTCAAGAGGGAGGTTATACCCTGGATCAAATTTTTAACTGTGACGAGACCGGGTTGTTTTGGAAAAAATCCCCTAAAGCAACATTTATCTCTAAGAAAGAAAAACAGGCAAAAGGTGTGAAAATGGCAAAGGATCGCTTTATTGTCCTCCTAACCTGTAATGCTTCAGGTGACTACCTCATGAAGCCTCTGGTGATCTACAAATATAAAAGACCAAGAGCTTACAAGGGATGTGATATGTCCAAACTGAATGTCTTCTGGGAAAAGACAAATAAAGGCTACATGTCCACAGAGTTATCA